GGTGTACCGAGAGTAGTCGTCAACGACCACTAGGAAGAAGCTCTCTCGCTCAGGTCCAAGCCGGGGAGCGGGGCCCCAGACGTCTAAGTGGAGTGTCTCAAAGGGCTCGGAGGCTGGACGAAGGGAGGAGGAGTGAGGAGTGGCGCGCAGCCGACCCTGGACACAAGGACCGCACGGAGGAGCGGGGGACGGTGGGAGCGGCGGGAGGTCGCGGGGGAGGCCTAAGACAAGACGCTGACTGGACATAGCGCGGAGACGAGGGAGGGACGGGTGACCAAGGCGGTGGTGCCAGAGGAGGGCAGGGTGGGACAGCGACCGACACGAGCACGACGCAGCCACTAGACCTGGCACAGCTACCTGACTGGACCTGGCTACCTGGTGGGACGGGGGAACCGGACGGGTGTCGGTGTGGAGGGTGTACAGACCAGAGCCCGGCTCCTGACGAAAAGTGGCCAGAGGGGCGTACGTGTCACCGTCCACACAGACTGCAGTGTCACCCGAAGGCTCAAACCAGACCCCGACGTGCTGTCTCGCCAGAGGAGCCACACCAACCAGGTTCCTAGAGAAAGTAGGAACGTGGAGGCCGGTCAAAGAACCGGAAGGGGCAGCTGGGCACGGGAGGGTAGTGGCATGAGTCGCAATGACCGGTCCCGAAGAGGGATCGGCCAGTGCTACAGAAACCGGCGCCGAGAGTGGAGTAAGAGTCGTGCTGTCGCGGAAGAAGCACTGCGTCGCTCCGGAGTCCAGTGTGAAGGAGAGCGACGCGTCCGCCGAGGGAGCACCTGTACTAGTAGCTAGACAGGATCCTACACCAGCACCTACTCTAGCAACAGGCAAAGATCCTACGCTAGGTACAGGCAAGTAAACAGATCCGACAGCACTATAGTCAACATCAGCATACATGGCATAAGACCTAGCATCATCCATAGACATATCAAACACAGCAACACCACGAGCAAGGAGTGGTCCCCAGCGCAGTGGCGGGGGAGCGGAGGGACCGTGGTGCAGGACGTACAGGTCGTCAAGACGGCTGAAGCAGCGTGCAGCAGAGTGGTCAGGGCGGCCGCAGTACGTGCCCCTGCGCGGACCCGTCAGGATCCAGTTTTCACAGGGACCAACGTCGCGGCCGGCCGAGCGGGGTCCCCGACTAGAAGGGGCACCACTGCGCCCAGTGCTCGGGGGGCCCGTAGGTCTCCACTGCTGCGGGGGGGCCCACTGCTGCGAAGGGCCCCACTGCTGCGGAGTGCCCCACTGCTGCAGAGTGCCCCACTGCTGGGGCTGCTGCTGAGGCGGACGCTGCTGTTGGCCCTGGCGCTGCTGCTGCTGTCCCTGCCGCTGCTGCTGTCCAGGCGGTGGCAGCTGCGGAGGAGTCTGCTGCTGCTGCTACGAAAACCCCTCACCACCGTCTAGAGGAGAGCCGTCAGGTCCCGAGTCACCCCCGCCGCCACCCCCGCCACTAGTACTACCGCCACCGCCGCCACCCGCAACACCCCCAGAACCCCCGCCGCCCTTCCCTCCCTTCTTGCCGGACTTGCCACGTTTCTGTCCGCCAGAGACAGAAACGGCCGCCGTCTCCTCAGAGGCAGAAGACGCGGCAGTGGCAAGCGAGGCAGTGAAGGTGGGAAGCTGTGGTACCGCACACCCCTCAAAGAGACGAGGAGGAGGCGCGGAAGAGGCGGAGGCAACAGCGAGGAGGTTACTCTCGATCTTCGAGAGAGCGGTCTCAAGAAGATCGATAGTAAGCTCAGTGGGGTGCTTCAGGAGAAGCGCGTCGCGGGCTGTGGCTAGACGGTCAGGGAGGCGAGTGACTAACCAGTGAATAGTGAGCCACATGGGGGGGGGTGCAAGGGCAAGCTGTTCCTCAGTGCAAGCGGCCTTGAAGCGAGCTTCAAGGGAGCGCAGGTGGGTAGCGAGGTCAGCGACAGTCTCAAAGGAGGCGAGGTCAGGGTAGATAAAGGGGACGAGGAGGCGGCTGAGGGAGGCAGAGGAGGGAGTGGAGTAGCGAGCAACAATAGCAGTGTAAAGGTCTGCAGCAGACTCGACCTGAGTGAAGTGGACAGCCTCAGTCGGCGGGAGAAGGTCGGTCAGGGCGAGGCAGGCAGCAGCGTCACGAGACTCCCACACGTCACGAGCGAGGAACCGGCGCTGGTACTCAGCCTCTTGCTCGGAAGTAGGCGGTGGGGTAGTGGGCAGCAGTGAAGGCTGCGGCGGGGCGGGCAGAGCACCGGACGCATGCGCAAACAGGTGCACGCCATCCTGGCGCTGGCTCCTAAGGTGGCGCTGGGCCTGCGTCAGCCAGGTACTAAAGTCGATCGCACGCCCCTCAGGGTCGAAACGGAGCACGCGAGACGTCGCCATGAGGGGCGAGGACAAGTGATGGCGGCCGCCAGCCGCGAGAGGAGGAGGAGAGGGAGGTGAGTGCGAGGCGGGTGCGTGCAGGCGGGGCGCGCACTGGCTGGGCGCGGGGTGGCGGGGCGCGCTCCGGCGCGGCGCGCTGGCTGGCGGGGCGCGCGGGCGCGGCGCGCTGGCGGGCGGCTAAGCAGGGCGCGCGCTGGCGGGCGCGGCGCGCTGGCGTGCGCGCTGGCGGGGCCCGCTGGCGTGCGCGCTGGCGGGGCCCGCTGGCGTGGCGCGCTGGCGGGGCCCGCTGGCGTGGCGCGCTGGCGGGCGCGCTAGCGGGCGCGCTGGCATGCGTGCTGGCGGGCGCGCTGGCGAGCTCGCTGGCGGGCGCGCTGGCGGGCTGGCGCGCAGGCTGGCTGGCGCGCTGGCTGGCTGGCGCGCTGGCGGGCTAGCGCGTTGGCTGGCTGGCGCGCAGGCTGCTGGCGCGCTGGCTGGCTGGCGCGCTGGCTGGCTGGCTGGCGCGCAGGCTGCTGGCGCGCTGGCTGGCTGGCGGGCGCGCTGGCTAAGGGCGGGGAGGGGAGGGGCGCGCCGGCTGGGGCGTGGGGTAGGGCGCTGGCGGGCTGGCAGGGTGCCGTGGTAACCCTAGTGGTAGGGAAGGGCGGGCCTAGGACTAGGAGCGCTAACCTACTGCTGATACCATGTTAGAATGAGAACTACAGCGGAATGAGTTGTGTTGACAGAATTGGGGTACATCACCTAACCCTAACTAGTTGTACCCCATATAGCCCAACCCACTACAGGCTATAATGTTTGACAGTTCCTACGGCCCCTTATTAGGGCCGCCTCTTATCAGCCTCGCTAAATTCACCTGTAATTCGGCTGGAGCGAGAAACCTCTTGTCAGATAAACTTGCCGGTTTGCAGTTGTGTGCGAACTTGAAAGTTGGATGATGTGACACAGTGCCGCGAAACCGTGGGCATCAAATTGTGACGTCCCATGAGAACCGCGATCCGTTCAATATGCGACATTGCCACATGAGCGTAAAACGCATTGCACAAAATACAAACCCAACAACCCACGTAGTCTCAACCAAGCAACAATCGTTCACAGATAAAAGCACGCACAAACCATCAAAAGAAATATCAACTCCGGGAATCTAGCACGCGTAGATTAGACCGGGGAGGCACTATGACCGATGTTTCGTTCCTCCCACGCCTGCTAATAGTATGGCATGCGTTTTACTTCAGCTCCTTCTTAGACTGTGCCACGAAGGCCTGCATTCAAATGCTAGAGCACATCGACGCCGCGGAGCAGGAAGAGACATGTGTAGAGTCCCGAAGTGACCTGCGCACGCGGAACCGCCAACTACGGCGGCGGAGACTAGACGTGTGGGAGGATGAGATGGCATCGATGTCGGACGAGACATTTACTGACCTGTTCCGCATAAACCGGGCCATATTAGACCACATATGCGAGGGAATGCACCATGTATTGCACCCAGTCATACATAGGCACGCACTGCCTATCCGAGTGGCTATTCTGATCCCAATAAAATACTTTGCGAGCGCCATGGCGTACATCGATCTTGCTTTCTGGTTCAGGGTCCCTAAAACGCTATGTCATAGGCTTGTTGATTTGTTTTTGCAGAATTTCCCGCGCGTTTTTAAGAAGGCCTGGGTCCGATTTCCAACGCAAGACGAGATGCGGGTCATGGCGGAGGAATTTAAAAGCATCAAAGGTATTCCAGCGGTTATTGGTTCCATTGATGGCACCCATGTCTAGATCCGGGGAACGGAAGGGCATCGGTCGGAGTATTATACGCGCAAATCACAGTATGCCGTACAGCTGCAAGTAACATGCGACGCTAGAGGAATTATCTGGGATTATTTGATAGGCTTTCCGGGCACAGATCATGACCAGCGGGTGTTCATACCGTCATCGCCCGGATGTAAGACATGTATGTCTTATCTCATACATTAAAAAAATCAGTCTTATAAATGGACAAAAATCCGTTTAGAAGATACTTCCTCGTTATACATTTGCCATTTGCCCCTACACACAAATAGGTGTCTTATAATGAGGCTACCCTGTTTATAAGAGACACCGGTATAATAGACAACCCCTGTCTACTATTCAACACTGTCTTATATCCGGGTGATGACGTTACAATCCAACCTCTACAAACGACCGGAAAATGGTGACATCGCCCCATACCAGCTAAGCGGCGATGCAGCTTATCCCCTCCGCGACTATTGCCTCACGCCATTGCACGCTCCGACTGGCCGCCTCATGCTCGAGTGGCAACAGACATTCAACTACTGCCAATCTGCAACCCGCATGTCCGTGGAGCGCACGATCGGCCAGTTCAAGGGCCGGTACCGGCTGCTCGCTGGCCGTCACGATTGTGCGCTCTGGCGGGTTCTCGCCGGCGCCAGTTGTGTGGTTATCCTGCACAATATGGGCATTGGGATGGCAGGGCCACGCATGAAGACCCCAAACATCAGATGGGCGGCTATTTCACTCACCCGGGACCCGTGGTGGACGCGCGGAGAACTCGCCGAGTATAAGTGGGAGGCATGTGACATTGTCACGCCGTTCGATCTGAAGGAACGACGTAAAAGGCTCGGAATGGCACTGCATGACGCATACCTTAAACGACGTCGTCAGCACCGCCACTCCTCAACCTCGTCGCTGAGCGTGGCATTGTCTGCGTCCGGCCATGCGTTGTCACCGCCAGCACGTCCGCGGGAGAAGTGAAGCGAGCGACTAGTTTGAGACTGCTGGCTTGCCATCCACTCCCGGATTACCCCAGTGATCTGGGAGACGCCCTCCTCTGAGCATCGCGTGAGAGTGTCGGCCAAAAGTTGAGCAGCCGCCATAGTTGCTGTCTCGTTGATGCGACGTTTTGCGCTCGGGGGTGTGCCGCGGCCTGCAGGCACATAGGCATTGGGGTGGAAAAAGTGTACACAATTTGAAATGCCTTGTTTGAAATCGCGAGGGTGATTGTGTACTTTGGTTCAGTAGCAAACGGTGAACTACAACTTAGTCACATCCCCGTTCTGAATAACTCACATGTTGTAGTCGTAGCGTCGGTTTTCGCGGGCTTGATGACAGTTGCCCCACCCGACGCAGAGTCCCCCTTCGTCACCTGCTTCCACAAGGCCTTCAACCGTTTCCACTGGTTGGTGCACGCGGTAGCGTTGCGGCTCCAATCGGGGTGCTGGAGCTTAATGTGCTCGCAGAGACGCAGCCAATATTGGGAGCCTTGCTTCCCAGTCATCTGCTGCAGCTCGTCCTTCGTGAACCAGCGAGCTGCAACTAGGATGGTCGACTCCTTCAGCGTCCACTCAATACGAGCGCCAGGCCCCGGGCTGCTGTTCACCTTAGCAGGGCTGCGCACTGCAGACTTTCCCTTCCGCTTCCCGTCAGGGCGCGAGGCAGCCGCAGATTGATCGTGATCGGCTTGAGCAGCTGTTGCATCGTCCTGATCAGGGCCGTTGTATTCAGCGATGCCGTGCCAGGCGGCAACGGCATCGTCGCGATCGGAGCCGGCAGCATCGTCCTCATCGTCCGAATCCTTCTCAATGTATTCGTCGTCCGTGTCGTATTCACGGGGCAAGACTGTCGCTTGCTTCGGGGTTGAGCTCGCGGCTCCCACGCTACGTAACGGACGGGCGGTTGGTTTTCCGGCCGCGATTTCGGCATTCATCCATTTGACATAGGCTAGGTCCTCCACACTCCAACCTTCGTCGTCTGCTGGGCGAACTGATCCTTTGCGTTTGCGTGCCATGGCTAGCTGCTGAAGATTGATGATAATGTCCCTAATCTACGTCACGGTTTTGTATGCTTTGACAGATCTATGCACTCGATGTTGTTGTTGGTTCCTTGTTTGCTGTGGTTTGTGGAACGTGTCGAACGTGCTGGTGCACTGGATGGCTGTGTGGCGGGAATTGAGATAAATGTTGGGAATCGTGAAAAATGAGCACGTAAGCTTCCCGTTGCACATTCGCCACGTCACAGTCGTGCGCAGGTTAAAGTGACGGGCGAGACTCATGCTTTGACGCTTACGCGATTCTGTGGACGTGCACAGTGGGTTCCGCGTTGTTGAGCTACATGGTGCGATCGATATCATTCGTGCGCGTTCACGGTACAAGCCTGACAAGAGGCGTTCTATAACGTGCGTACAACAAATATGCGAAGCTGATAAGAGGATGCCCTGACAAGGGGCCGTAGGAACATGCCCTTAGATGACCTCATTTCAGACAAAACCTCCTTCACAACTGCATTGAACCACATCGAAAATGCATTGTACCACAAGAACGTGATCCGACGGTTGATTGATCTGACTAGTGACAGGCACTAAGGGTGTGTGTCCTTGAGGTCAACCTTTGCCCACGTTTGAACTTATAGAAAGGTTGTGCACGGTACGATACAGTTGAGAAACGTGTCGCCACGGTACAAAGCGGTACGAGGCTTGAACTTTGACAATCTACACCAAAAGACACGCGCCCTAATGCTGAGGAAAGAGCCTCCGCCAGAGAAAAGGCTCGATCAGTCAGGAAACTGGCTATTATTTAGAAAATGTTGTACACTATGTCGTACGTTCTGCACTGCACCATCCTGAACATGTGACATTGAATAGCAGATAACATCCCTCACAACAGATGCTCCCGATGCAAGAGAGTTTTACCTGCACTGCAGCTCAAGACATTGATCATATATTAGGATAAGAAGCTTACATTATACCTAGCCTCCTACTCTGCACTAATTTCAGCAGTCAGCACTAACTCTAAACCTAAAACGGGCTAACGAATTTAGCTGCAGTCAGCAGCACTTTTGGAACCATCCACTTGCGCTCTGGTCCTTGTGCTTCTGCTCTCGGCCCCACAGCAACTGGCCCTTGCATTCCTGGTATTGGCAACCACCCTCCACCAGCAGTAAGCATGCCATCTGCAGCACGCGCAGTTAGCTTTTCAGATTTCGTCTCCTCAGGAACAATGACAGCAGCAGGGATCGATCCCTGAACGGTAGCAAAACTACTTGATTCAGGCGCCACAGTGGGAGCAGGAGATGCAGCAGCAGCGGTGGCTTGAGAAGCAGGAACGGCTCCAGTGGAGGTCCCAGGGGCAGGCCTTGAAGGACATGCAGCTTCTGCTGCAAGATCCAGTGCTGATGTGGCAGAATCTGATTGATGAATATGGCTGTGGATGTGGCTGGGGCTGGGGCTGTGCCGATCCACGCCATGCACTATTTCCAAAATATCTTCCACCAGCTCGTCTCTGCCGCCCCGAAACAGATCCTGAATTGGGAAAGGGGAAGCGGAAAACAATTGTAAGGAAAGGGAGAAGGAAGAAACAAGCGGTATGGCAAAGCTCTGCCTTGAGTTAGCTCTGTTGGCTGCGCTTTAGGCAGCTCCTTTATATGCAACATAATGTTTCCCTCTACAGTGACCCCTCACAGTGACATTCGACATAGGCATGGGGCCTGCAATGTGCCCCTTGACGAGGATCCATGTGCCTCACCCTTGATCTCAATTACGGGTGTTTTTGCAGCACGAGACCAATGTACTCCTTACCACTGTACAGCTTCAGTTTCGTCCTTATTTGTACCCTTTATAATGCGATTCATAGTACCTGGAGAGTGAGGTCGATGTGTCCCTTGCCGCTGTACAGCTTCACTCTCGTCTCGACCCCTGCTGTTTGCAGCGCTGATCCGAAGTCCTCACTGTGATGCCACGCCATGCCATGCCATGCCACACACATGCAAAGCAAGGAGGAAAAAGAATCTGATGAGGTAAGGTGCGGCAAGTTGAGCGGTAAGGTGCGGTAAGGTGCAAGGAAAGGAACGGAAGAGTCATCCACCCCGTGGTAAAGGTGCACAGGGAGCAGGGTTGATTGTAACAGGTGTGACTAGAACAGGTGCAGCTGTAGCAGGTGCGTCTACATACCTGGCAGTGAAAGGAACGGAAATGTCGTCCACCCCAGGGCAGAGGTGCACAGGGGGCAGCAAGGGGGCGGCAGGTGTGACTGCAACAGCTGTGACTATGACAGGTGAACATGCACATATGTAAGTAGGTGTGACTACAACCAGGCAGTGAAAGGAACAGATATATGATATATTGACCACCCCGTGCTAGAGGTGCACAGGGGACAGTGGGTGTGATTGTAAGGGTGCAATCATAACGGGTGTGACTACACTGTCCTACCTGGCAGCGAACGGACCTAAAATCTCGTCTACCCCGTGACAGAGTGCACAAGGGGCAGCAGGGGGCGGCAGATGTGATTGTAATAGGTGTGACTCTAAAAAGATGCGACTATAGCGTACCTGGCAGTGAAAGGAAAAGATATATATCGACTACCCCGTGATAGAGGTGTACAGGGGGCAGTAGGGGGGCGGCAGCCTTGAAGGTGGGGCGAGAGACGAGAAGCTCGGGGGAGAAGAGAGGCAGAAACTGTGACAGGTGTGACAATTACCTGGCAGTGAACGGCACGGATGTATCGTCTACCCCGTGATAGAGGTGCACAGGTGGCAGCAGGGGGGCGGCAGGGGGGCGACAAGTGTGACTGTAACAGGTGTCATACCTGGCAGTGAACGGAACGGATATATCATCTACCCCGTGATAGAGGTGCACAGGGGGCAGCAGGGGGGCGGCAGCCTTGAAGGTGGGGCGGGAGACGAGCAGCTCGGGGGAGAAGAGAGGGAGGGACTCCTCGCCCTCGAATATGCTGCGGTTTGGTGGGTCGGGGAGGGGTGAGAGGGAGTGGGAAGAGGTGAGGGGGGTGCGAGGCAGTGACAAGGGGGTGAAGGGGCGAGGAGACAGAGGCAGGCTTGGAGAAGGGAGGGGGAAGGGGATGAGAAGGACAAGGGGAGGAGAAAGGGAAGGGGACGGGGATAGGGGAAGGGGAAGGGGAAGCGGAAGGGGAAGGGGAAGGGGAAGGGGAAGGGGAAGGGGAAGGGATTGGCTGAGACAGGAGGAGGGACTGAAACAGTGCAGAAAACAATCACGAAACAATGTAAGCCGTCTAGAAACCAATTAATGATGATGAGTGCTGACACAGCTGAGAGGCTATGGTGACTCAGACTTTTGAGTCGACTCAAAAGTCACCTCGTAAGCTGTCTAGAAACCAAGTAATGATGATGAGTGTTGACACACGTGAGAGGCTATGTGACTCACGAGAGGAAGAGGTATGGGTTCATGCCCCTGGATTCAAATTGCGGTTCCAGGTTGATGAGGTTGTAGCTGGGGAAGAAACGGGGGAGGGAGGAGGGAGGGGAGGCGGATGGAGAAAGAGAGAGAGTGACTCATGAGTCGGCTGAAAAGAGGTAGGGATTAATGCCCCTGGACTCGAACTGCAGTGCCAGGTTGATTAGGTTGTAGCTGGGGGGGAGGGAGAGAGAGGGGGAAAAAGGGGGGGCGAAGTTTGGGGGGGAGGAGGCGGAGGGAGAGGGTGACTCATGAGTCGGCTGAAAAGAGGTATGGATTCATTTCCCTGAACTCGAACTGCGGTGCCAGGTTAATCAGGTTGTAGCTGGGGGAGGGGGAAGGGGTGGGAAGGGGGAGAGGGGAAGGGGAGGCGCATGAAGTGCCTTTTGAGTCGACTGAAAAGAGGTAGGGGTTCATTACCCTTACCTCATGCTTTGAGTCGACTCAAAACTCGACTTTTGAGTCGACTCAAAACTCGAAAAGAGGTAGGGGTTCATTACCCTTACCTCATGCTTTGAGTCGACTCAAAACTCGACTTTTGAGTCGACTCAAAACTCGAAAAGAGGTAGGGGTTCATTACCCTTACCTCATGCCCCTGGACACAAACTGTGGTGCGAGGCTACTGAGGTTGTAGCAGTGGGTGTGGGGAGGGGAGAGGGTGAGGGGGAAAGGCGGAGGGAGAGAGGAGAGAAGAGGGGCAGAGGAGATGTGGGCAGGAGTGGGCGGAGTGGGCGGAGTGGGCGGAGTGGGCGGAGTGTGGAAGCAGGAGATGGCGGATGGGGGAGAGGAACGTGTGCTGGCGAAACTGAGATTCACTTTGGTTAAAAAAAGGGATAGTATCTTTTTCTATAGGGACAGTTTTTCTAAGTGTGCGTTTATCATTTCTTTTTTCAACAGATAAGATTACATCAACCATCTCACCTCCCATCCCTTCCTCCCCCTCTCTCTCCCACCTTACCCCTCCTTTCACCCCCCACCATCCTCCTCCCCCCCTTCCCTCCCACCTTACCTTCTTCCCCCCCACTTGTCCAACTCACCATCCCGAGACGCCGATGAAAGATTTGATTTCCTCGCTGCCCCACACGTCGAGAACGCCCCTCCCCGGCTCGTTCCCCTCCGCTCCGCCGCTTCCCGCCAGATGCGCCAGTAGCCTCCGCATCGACAGCGAGCGAAATAGCGGCGTCCCCGCGCGCAGCGCTTCCGCCGCCGCCTCTTTCTCTCCGCGCAGCCCCGCGGCTGGCGGTGCTTGCGGGTCCGCAGGGGAAACGGCGGAAGAGACGGGCGGAAAGACAGCAGCAGCGGGGAGGGGGAAAGGGGACGCGGGGTGACCAGAGTCGGCGCAAGTGGCCAGAACGGGGAGGGAGGCAGGGGCGCGATGACCAGTCTCGGGAAAACTTGTAACGGGGACGTCGGAAATAGTAACAGCGGCAGAGGCAGAAGCGGCAGCAGCGTTGACCCTCCAGGCGTCGACAGGATGAACCTTCGCAGAAGCAGCAGCAGCAGGCGCGAAGGGAGCGAGGGATGCAGACGGGTAACGGATTTCCGTCTTTCCTGCAGCTGTTTCTGCTACACTAACAACTACCCCTGAACACGAGCTTTCGCCTTCCACCGCCAAGTGCTGCTGCTTTTGATCCTGTTGTTGCTGTTGTTGATGTTGTTGCTGCGGTTGCTGCAAGTTGCTACCGAAAGGCGACAGATTATGCTGCTGCTCCGACGGCGGAGCCTCCGAAGCGCGCATTAGAGCCTGTCTGATAATCGCCACGGACGACAAGTGCGCTCCGGCAGACTGCCCCGCCAGGTGCACGCGACTCGGGTCCCCGCCGTAACGGTGGATATTTTGCAGCACCCAGCCGATGCCACGTGTCACGTCGTCGAGCATGCCGCTAACGGTGGCCTGCGGGAAGTTCCTGTAGTCTATACTCGCTACAATCACGCCGCGTTCCTCTAACGCCTGTGCTAATAGCGTGCCCCACGCCTTGTATCCTATAATCCACGCGCCCCCGGTTATGAAAATAACGACGGGACGAGGGCGGGGAGAGGGGGAGGCGGGGACGAATATATCCAAGCTGGTGGGGGTAAAGGGGGAGGGAGGAGGGGAGACAGGGGAGGGGATGTTGGGTGGGAAAAAAAGGGAAAAGGAGGTGAAGGGACGCCTTGTAACGAGTGCGAAAAAGGAAAGGAGAAGGAAAAGAAAGAAGAAAATAGTGCTCAGTGGCGCAAGGGGAAAGGGGGAAGGGGAAAGGGGGGAGGAAGAGCAGGGCGCACACCTGTTGCGCGGCAGTCGGCCGTAGGGTATGCTGCGACGGACGTTGGGGGAGAAGAAATAGTACCACATGACTGGCGGGGAGGGGGAAAGCGGGAAAAGGGAGGGGTAAGGGGGGGAAAGGGAGGGGGAAGGGGGGAAGGGGAGAGGAAGCGGGGAACGAGACTGAGGGTCGAGGAGAAGAAATAGTACCACATGACTGTCGAGGGGATGACGGGTGGGATGAAGGTGGGGGGGAACGGGAGGGGAGTGAAAGCGGGGAGCGGGAGGGGAGTGAAAGCGGGGAACGAAACAGAGGGTTTGGGGAGAAGAAGTAGCACCACATGACCAGCGGGGGGAAGAGGGAGGGGGGCGGGGGAGGAAGGTCGGGAAGGTGGGGGAGGGGTCGCGGGGAACGAGGGTTACTGTTACCCTTCAAGTTTTCGCATGACGCGTTGAGGGTTACCTCGTAGGAAGCCGGGCATGAGCAGCAAGTCGTAGCTTTCGATCACAAGTTACCGGGTTACCTTCCGCATGGCGCTGTGAGGGTTACCTTGAAGGAAGCCGGGCATGAGCAGCAGCGAGTAGGTCATGAGGAGAAAGAACTTGGACATCCAGTTGAGCCCGAGACTGCGGAGCGGGAGAGGCGGAGAGAGGCGTGTGGGAGGGTAAGGCGGGGAGCACGGAAACGGGTAAGGCATAAAGACAAAGGAACCTGGATTTCCCAGTTGAGCCCGAGACTGCGGGGAAGCGGGGTAACGTTTTGAGACGTCTCAAAACACTACTTTCATCACGTGGCTATCCCAGTTGAGCCCGAGACTACGGGAGAGCAGGGTAACGCGCGTAGGAGGAGCGGCACGAGACAGGCAAAGAAGCGGCGGGAAAATCGTCGGCGCGGCGTTTTGAGATGTCTGGCGAAAATCAGAGACAGGCGGTGCGAAATGTCACGATTTTTTCCGAGAATAGAAACGCAGGGAGTTGCGAGTGAGTAACTTGGTAAGTCCAAGCGACGCGATTGCAGTTGCGCACCCGAGGAACTGCAGCAGCTGCACTGTGAGGCTGGTCAGCTGAAAAGTTTCCGCGGCTGCCCGTCTTACGCTCCGGCCAATGATGATAGCGGCACGTGTGGAGCATCGAGGCGCGGCGTCGCTCGACGGCGAGCGGTCAATCGTGGAAATACTCCGTCTGCGTGGCAGACAGCACGCCGCGGCCGCCGCGGCCGTGACTGCTGACGACGTGCAGACGGAGGTGCTGACGGAGTTCGGGCCATCCGGAGCGCCTAGTAGTCTCTCAATGGGCTGCGACCCGAACATCGGCCGCGGAAACTTCGCGCACGCGGCGCGAGGGAAGGCCACTAGTGAGGAAGTTAAAGACGAGAGGGACCGTGAAAGGCGGGCTAATGACGATGTTCCTGAGAAGGCAGGTGATTGCGACGCGAGAATTGGTTGTGATAAGTTGAAGAATGGGTTCGTCTGCTTTAATCGGCGCTCTGAGCAGCAGTTAAAAATGTATTTACAGGTGGCACGAACTAGCCGTTGAGGTTGCAACGTCGCTACGAGCAACTTATTCCCGGGAATCGCGTGCACTGACATTCACAGCAAATGGCGTCCTTAATGCTGTGCGACTGAATACTCGTTGGCTAGCTGATCTCTAGCCACAAAAGACCAGAGACGTCGGCTAAGAGCGATATAAGGAGAGTTTAGCGAGAGAGGATAAGAGGGGGAAGCGGGAAGGCGCATTCAGCGGCCAGAAGACCTTGGGAAGACTTCGAGGTGTTCGACGTGTGTAGCAGGTGATCCAGCAGGGAGGAGGTACGGGTTGAATAACGCGCACGGTTGGATATCCGCCTATTAGCTGGGTGAGGTGAGGCTAAGTGGTTTATCTTTTTGGTGGAATGCGATTGAGAACGAGAAAGTCTGTTCACAGCATGTGTAACGAACACGGAAGGAGGCACTGACAACACACTGCGCGTACGCGCACCTGGTTGGAGTTGACGGGAAGGGAATATCGTGACCGGGCCGGGGGTGCGGCGCACGAAAGTGCGCAGGGAGGGTGTATGCGCACATATCGAGTGAATGGAAGAAATTCCGCGGAGAATTTAGGGGCGCGGAGCAGGCATCGGGTGTGTGCGGAAGTATTCCTCTTGGGGGAGAGAGAGAACAGGGAAGTCCTTCCGGGGGGAGCTTCGCGGGGAGCGGTGACACCATGGAAGTTCACGCGCTTCGATGCTCCGCTGCAGATATCAGCGTGGATGAATCCGATTGGCGAACGAACCTAAAATGGTTACCAGCCTAGTCTCAGCCTATGCTGGACGACCCGCAAAGTCCTTTATGCATTCCCTCAAGCTTTCTGACCGAATGCTGCGACGCCTTCGTGCGACTTCGGAATGGCGAGGGCGGTGTGGGCTACACTAGTGCGGTGCGAGGTGGCTCAACTCGAGGGATGGATCATCTTGGGCGCAAGCCACGTGGACAGTTCAATACAACGTGACTCGCAGACCCGCTTTCGGTGGTCACACATTGTATCTGTACATCGCACCATTAGCCAGATGCCCAAACATCTATGATCCAGAGAGTCTTCGAATCCTGAGAACACGTATTTGTACCTGGTCCACTTATTGTACCTATCTTTCCAAATTACTTTCGTTTGAAGCTCAACCTCCATTGAATTGGAAAACCCTCCTTGAACCCTTGCCTTCTTCGAGTACATATACGGAAGGGATTCCGAGAGCCTTGTTTTCCGTGCATTCGTCTCAGCTCCTTCCGAGGTTCCCTTCGTTCTGGCCACAGTCCCTGGCTTGCTCAGTTTATTATCTTCATTCACCTTGCCCTCTCTTGCTTTATCGAACTTTTCCTCGTCACTTTTATTTCTCCGTCTATTGTGTTCCCACCCACTCCTGCATTCAGTCTTGTTTTTTTCGGGTTTTTCCCTTCGCCTTTCGTCTGGATTGGTCATCTGGAAACAAAGAGTTCTGGTGTCCTAATAACCAGAGAAACGACGCATCTTCACTTTCAGATGCCGGTGCTGTCCATACGTTTTCCTCTGAGATTCCACACATTCCACCCCTTTCTCTCGATGCTGCCTTCATGGCGCCATCTTGTTGATTTGCGAGTGCCTCGCTCAAGATCTCCCTAATGATTAAAACCTTTCTTCGACGGGGTTGCTTATGCATCCATCGTGGGAGTTATTTTTGCAGAAATTTGGGATGAAGGGAGATTGCAGTCTTTTCTTTTTTCACATCATGGGCTTGCTTTCATAGAATGTTTCGTATCCGCGCATTGTCACGGGATTGCCCCAGGCAGGCATGCATTCTAGTCTCAGGCGCATCATTACAATGGCAACGTCCAAGCATGTGCGCCCATTGTCACGCGTGGTCATAATATGTAAGATGGATCGTTCCTAACATGACATCAAATACTATGGAACATCGTACAGATTCTACTGTCGAGGTAACCGCTCCTTGCCACACTAATTGGGCATTGAAATTAATGCCGGCAATGACTAACAGAGTGAGAGGAATGTCATCTGGCCCTTCATCCGGAAGGGTGGCATGTGGAAACGGGTACTGAGATACATGAATGTCTGTCTGGAATATACCAGGCTTGAGGGCACAAACAAAAGCCACTACTTACAGCAAACAATACCATGAACGATTGAATTTGGTCGGCTGTCTGTGTTCACAACAGCGTTTTCTCACATGCACATGAAGCCCAGTAGCTTTAGGATATTTAAATGGGGAACATGGAGCCTTCTGGGATTGAGTGTGATGTATACTGGGCTATTGCAGGCAATAGACTGAATGCAGACAAGATTTACTTAACCACCCAAGTCAAACCCATCCACATTTCTGGCACCTCACCAAACAAGCGCAGCGCACCCATCCCAATCCCTAACGATCAATCTGATGTGACACACTACTACAAAACCCAGTTAAAAAACAGGTCAGAGCACCATCCATGCAAGGAAGGCACTGTTGCCCCACCGCATCACAGCCACAAGGCCTGCAAACGCCACAAGCCCTTGAATCATGCTCATCGGTTGAAACTTCCAGGCCTTAACATGCTTCCCTTGTGCTGCTGTTGTTGCGGTGCTAGATTCACCTTGGAAGGTGATTTTCCCTGAATGGTGCAGCCACACGGCAAGCATCGCATACACCCCCACCGCTAGCAGACGAACCCCAAGGCTCTCCGCTGCTCCGGCAATCGCTGCCACTGCTGGCGCCACCACTGACAACCAGTTAGGTCCGGCCAAAGCTTGAGGCTTGGTAGTCGCAGAGGGCAAGGTGGAAGAGGAGGAGGAGATGGAGGAAGCGAGGGTGGATGATGAAGCAGATGCAGTAGCAGTTGCTGCTAACGATGAAAGAACAGCACGAGCCGCAGAGAACCCAGTGAGGATGGTTAGGATAAGCAGGAAAACCAATGGCGGAACGACACCTGTCGCGAGACCAACAGCTGCCGATCCAGAGAGCCACAGCGGACCGTTTAGCCTCTCGGGATCAGAATCAAATCGCTGAGCTACAGTAACCACGGCGGTAACCAGAAGAGCGTTCAGGATAACCGGTCCAACCGGCATGACGTCAAACTGGGCGAGCATCGCGAAATAGAGGAACTCGGCTCCAGATGCGATGAGAGAGAGGAGGATGGAGAGGGGAGTGAGGATGGGGTCGGGGAGGAGGAGGAGGAGGGAGTGTGTGAGGAAGAGGAGGAAGACGGCGGTTGAGCCGCAGGCAGCGGTGAAGAGCGAGAGGATGAGAAGGGAGGAACGGATGAGCTCGGAGAGTAACCAGCGTCGGTTGAGGACGAGAACGACCGCCACTGCATATTGAGGGGAGGGGAAGAAATGAAGGGAATAGGAAGAGGGGACAGCAAGAGGGAGCTGAAGGATAAAGAGAGAGAGAGGATGAGAAGAGGGGAGCAGATGGGCTCGGATAGCAACCAGCGACGGTTGAGGAAGAGAACAAGTGAAGCTGCACATCAAGGGGAGGCGGAGGAAATGAAGGGAGAGAGGAGGGAGGGGCAAGAGGGAGCGGAAAGAGAAAGAGTGTGTAGAGAGGACGAGGAACGGGTGAGTTGGGAAGTAGTGAGCGGCAGCTGGGGAAGAGAGAGGGCGACTGCACATGGAAGAATGTGGCCAGAAAAGAATGGAGAATGTGGTGCAAGAAGTGACTTTGAGTCGACTCAAAAGTCACCTAGAGAGAAGGGCGACTGCACATGGAAGAATGCGGCAGGAAAAGCATGGAGAATGCGGTGCAAGAAGCCACGAAGTGGGATTGATGGGAAGCATGCCGAGAGGAGAGCGCATGGAAATGAATGTGGCAGGAGAAGAACGTAAATGGGACGACAGGTCGGCATACGTGGAGGGTGAGGCTCAGGGGAAGAGACTGGAGGGGTTGGGAGGAGGAGACGGTAAGAAAGGGGATGTGCCACTGCAGAGAATGGGGTGATGTGGCTTGTGGTGGTTAAAGGATTACGAAGGAGTTTTTGAACACAACGTGAGTGAGGAGAGTGGGAGAGTGTGAGTGCGGGTGGGGGTTGGGTGGGGGGAGAGGAGGGGGTGGAAGGGGTGGGTGTAAGGTAGGGGAGGAAGAGAGTTAAACCCGAAACCCAGCGGACAGGACAACTTTGTAAGTGCACCTGCAGCCAATGCCAGCACTCTGTTTCTCGTGGGACGGAACTCCTTCTGCCCGGGAACAAATTCCATCTGCCCGGGACGGTGCCGACTGGCCCTAGAAGTCGCTGCTGCTGCATCCGTATCCCCGCTATAGACTGCCCCCACTGATTCTGTGGCAGACGCAGGTGTGACCTGTCCATTTACGCCTGGTTTAGGCGCAATCTGTTCGGAATTCTCGGGGGAGCTGTTGCTGTAAGCGCCGCTTCCGCCGTCCGATGCGGCGGAAACGCCGAGTCGCCATTTCGAGCAGAGCGACGGACGAGAGAAGCATCGCTCTGGTGGAGGGCGGGGGTTGGAGGAGATGAAAGAGGATATGAGATCATGAATGGCAAAGGCGCCGCGGAGTGAAATCGAAAATCCCCCCCCCCCCCCCCCCCCACGTGGGGAGCGGGAGAGACCAGGGTCCTGGATGGCTGAAATGCAGCGGTTATATAAACATGCGAACGGCGGAAGCATAACCGGTGCGATCGCCGCGTTTCCCGTCTCCCTCCACCCCAGCAGTTCCCAAATTTCTCACCAGCAACTCGCGGAGTCGCACTACGCAGTACCCGTCTTCGCAGTCCAGGAAACGAGGGTGGTGAGACAGCGGCGCGACTCGTCGACGCAACCTGCGAACAGAGGCTGGCGGAGCCACCTGTACGGG